AGTCGGTTTTGTTTTTTTTTATAATAAAAGGTGCCAAACGAGTAAGCGGCCACCTGAATCCACTGAAATCGAAAGCGACCGCTGCCCATAAACATCCGCAATTGTAGATGAAGTTGTCTACCCTTAATTGACGGAGGGAGAGACGCACATAAAGAGCTCATTTCCTATTCATATGCGTCTCCTCCACCGTCAAATCCACTTCTCCTTTCCATCCTTTCCTCTAAAGAAAGGGGTGGAAAGGTAAAGGGACAAAAATTAGGCCTTCGGCACCACACTCATCAGATGAAACGCGGAATTACTTCCACGTCACGCCTGTTTTTTGTGTGGTCGTGGTATTACACCGGGCGAGCCGGCCCATTCGTGCGGAGATGTTAAAGCGGGCTCTACCACTGTTAGATTTGGATAACAAAGGTAGAGGAAGACCGAAGTATGGGTTGTGTGAAAGAGACATTATGCAAGAGCAGTACATATTATGCCTTCTTACATAGGATAGCTTGATAATGGACTTAAGCAAATATATCTTAGCAAGATCCCGATATTTTAAAGACAATTCTTGTTTGTATTAATGTTTTTTTAAAGGAATAAAAGGCATATTAACATAATTGTATAGATGTTTTGTTAAATTAAATTTATTATAATTAAATTTATTTTAATATATTATTAATTAACATTTAAACATTACTATTACATTTTGACAATCGATAGTTTAATTTCTAAAAAGAAATACTTCATCTCCGAATTTCGTATTATTTCCAACCAGTTTGTACTATAAACCCAATACGATCTATGTTAGGTTGATTCATTGTACAGGTGAGGCTAGATTCGGCAATAAACAATCACTGATCCGGAATACTGACCCGTATTACGTAAACATTAGGTTAGATTTCCGCTTAAAGGGGATGATGAATTATACATTAACAGTGGGGCGTTAACACAACACACGAGTATAACAGAGCAGTACAACACTGCAATACCGCTATAAAGGTACTGTTTTACTGTAGAATTTTTGTCGAGATATCGTTGTCTCTGTTTTGTCAAACGGAACGAAAGAGATAGCAATATATAGATGGCCATAGCAGTATTGTGCTACTGATAAATCTTTCTGTACTACCCTCGTGATAAACAAGGTTTATGTAAATACGTATCCCGAGGGATTTTGTGTACGTGTAGGCGCGTCCTTTGATGTGGGATTTAAGCAACTGACATCGACACACTCTAACGCTTTCGTAAACTTTCATTAAAAAAGACGTAATTCGGAATTCCTTTCGTGAGAAAAGATTTTGATTTTGGAATTCTACGTGTTAATTAAATCAGAATATACTTAAGAAAGAGATTTGTATTTTTGTATGTATTGAAATAACTCAAAAACGACTGGGCCGATTTCAAAAGTTCTTTCGCCATTAAAAAGCTACGTTATAGCTGAGTAAGCTAAATTTTTAACGCTAGTAACTGCTAGTAATATTATAAATGCGAAAATTTAGATGGATGGATGTTTGTTAGAGTTTGTCATCTATACTAAATGAATCTGGATGAAATTTGGCATAGATGTAGAGCATAGTCTTGCAGAACTCACAGGCTTCTTTTTTTAATTCCACGCAGACGGAGTTGAGGTTTAAAGCTAGTCTTGTTATAAATACTGAGACATGAACTCATGACCCTCAGATATATGTAGTCTTAACCATTAGTATATTGGTGCTTTGCTTAGTATATGAAGTTTGGTTTTAATTATCCAAGCGTAGAATTGAACCGAGAACAGATTGGTGCAATTGCCTCCATTGCGATCACTTAACACTTGTCTCGCATTCTACTTGAGTCAATTGCTTGCATCAGTTCCAATTTTCACAACGATAAATTGTTTCGTTCTTCCTTATCATGACAATTGGTTTCCATTATTTATATCAAGAGAGCGCTTACCTTTGACTAAACTATTGTACATTGGTTGTGCGATTGTTTCACAGCCAATTCAACTGTTTAGTTGCACAACTAAAATTCGAGTAGTGTGTGCACCTCCATATAAGCTCCTAGTCAAAGCGAGACTAAACAGTTGTGCGATAGTTTATTCAAAGGCGCACTAAATGTTTTTGGCACAATTTTAAGAAACTTTTAAAAATGCACAATAAAAGTGTGTAGTTATACATCTGTGCCTTTCATCGAGATCCGTTCAGAAGTTTAGGCTAAACTCTAACAATCATCCATCCATACAATTGCGCGTTTATAATATACTAGCTGTTCCCATGCGGCTTCACCCGCATGAAATTATAAAAAAAATATTTTATTGTTTACATGTGTCAAATTATCAATAGCAAATGTCAAAATGACATGACATGACAAACCTTAGCAATCTTGCTTTCTTGATGTTGGCAGCAACTTATGGTCTCTTTCCCACATCAGGGTTTTTATCCAAAATATTTACCACCTAAGTTTAATGGCGTGAAAATATATAGCCTAAAGCGTGACGTAAATGTAGGGCTTTTTATTAAAATAAGAATTCTTCAAAAATATGCTGAAATTGTTGACATCTTAGGCAACAAAGAAGTGTGTTTTTACGCTTTATTATAATAGTAAGATATAGATGTACTATAGATACAAAAATATACTAAAATAAATACATCAAACCATGACACCACAAAATTTTAATAGTTCATTAACTAGTCGCTTAATGTGTGTGTTTCTAATATTAATTCTACATTATGGGACAAACTTAGAAACCATTTAATTACTCTGTTATATTGTTCCTTAATATCTAAATGCGGTATCGCTTTTCTTATCAAGATGGCCGCTCGGTTACTGTTGTCTTGATAAGAAAATTCATTATTCGGGAATAAAGGAAATAAAACAATAAGAATGGTTTATTTTCTCTTACGGGTATCTTGATTTTTAATGCTTTTATAACAGTATTTGAGTGTTTAAATCTTCTTTAACTTCTCTCAGTAAAGTTATTGTAAAAGTAGCTGGGAGGTCGGCCATAAGTAAGCACTTATGGCCGGTCTCCCAGGATACTTTCAGCCATTCGTTAGCGTTTTTGGTTCGATAACTTCATAAAATGCGTTTCCGAACTATTATATGAGTTATACTCCTTTGTAACTTAATCTTAACACTTACGAACCAGTATGTTATTTTATAGTGACATTATAAATGCGAAAGTTTAGGATGTTTGTTAGGGTTTGTAGCCTAAACGGCTGAATGTATCTCAATGAAATTTAGTATAGATGTAGAGGATAGACTGGACGAACATATAGGCTACATACTTTTTGTTTTTTTTAATACCACTCTGTCGGAATGGCTTGCGAAAGCTAGTGATAAAATAGATGGAAACTTCAACAAGCCAGCGTCAATAGAAGATTTTTGTCGGGGGTTCAGGCACTTTTTATTTTCATCATTTAAAAAGTATCGGATTGCTAATAAGTACAGTTAAATAAACATACTAACAATAAATTTATAAACAACGCCATATATCCAAACCAAAAAAACACTAATACAAAGTCGTTTATAACGACTATCGCTAACTAAAATATAAATATCCGAAACAGGTAATTGTTGACAGAACTATAAAAAATATAAGTTACAATAATTGTGAAAAAAAACATTACGGACACGCAAAGCTAACAGAGAAATTCCAATTTCATGTATAAAAACATGTTGTCTCTTTCTTTCTTGAAGAAAAGAGAAAGAGATGACTATATTTTTCACATGAGTGTTTCGACTGTGGGAACAAGTAACAAAATTGCTAGTTTACTCGGGAATGTTAAAAGCAAGTAAAACGAAAAATAGTCGAGTTACAAATAAAAAACTTCACGTCGCGTCGCTTGGACTTTGACAACGTAAACAATTTACACAAGAACTTTTATAATTTAAATGTACGTTTAAAATTTTTATAAAATATTTTTAGAGATATGACAAAAACATATGAAAGACTAAAAAACTTTACTCGCAAATAACTATTTTAAATGAACGATTAACAACTTTAGTCACACATTTAATCCTTAATTAAACAATCCCTTAGTGTACATCTATAATAAAGCGTAAACACACACTTCTTTGTTGCCTAATATATCAGCAAACACAGCATAGTTTTGAATAGTTCTTTTTTTAATAAAAATCCCTACACTTACGTCACGCTTTAGGCTATTTATTTTTACGCCATTAAACCTAGGGGGTAAGTATTTTGGATAAAAATCCTAATGTGGGAAAGAGACCATAAGTTGCTGCCAACATCAAGGAAGCAATTGTTCAGAATTCAAAATAAGATTGCGAAGATGTTAAAGCGGGCTCTATCGCTGTTATAGGTTTTGTAAACTGGATAGCCCACAATGTAGATCTTTTACAGTAAAAACACATATCTTCACAGTTTAATTAAACGCGGAAAGAAACCGCCTTAGTTTATAACAATGCAGACCTT